ATGTATATGAATTAAGATCTACTGCACTGGAATTTGTAGATTTGATCAAATCCTTTTTAAGGTCCCAGTCCGGCAAAGCACTGAAGCACACACTTAGCTTTAAGCGTGTGAGTAGCTGCTTTGAAAAATATGGAACTAGTCACATGCTTAAAGTGAAACACGTATTCAGGAGCTTTTCTGGATTGGGCTCTGTCCTGGTCTGACTATCCCAGAGCACCCTCTCATGGCATGACACAGCATTTCATGTTGCTAATCATACCAGGAGATCAACACATCTGTGTCCCCTGGCCTTCTAATTCGTTGTGTTAGTCAATAACATGCCAGGGGAGCACCATCTGAATGCTGTTGTCTTGTCCCCATGTCTGAAGTCTGGCAAGCCTTTTGCGGGTTGGGCTAGTGCTCTGAACATGTGCTCGTGAAATCCTGACTCACCCTGGAAAGAATTCTGGGATAAGGTGAAAGTCCCAAACAAACACCTGATTGCTGACCCCACAAAATAACGTACAGGCTTCACCCGTCCCCGGAAACAACAGTCCACACTGAGCCATTTTAGAACATTGCAAGGCAGCCGCTGTCACCTCCCTTTCACCTTTGGAAGATGAAAGACAAGGCACAATTCGACTCTGGCCACCAGTCGCAAACTATGGACCCCACTGTAAATCAGTGCCCACTTCGATCATTTGTCAGAGTTCCAACAAGCCACGCCCAAAGCTACCCACCAACTCACTGCTCTGGACTTCTCTTGCCATACAAAAAAGGACAGCACTTCGAGCCTCTGCCTCTCTTTCCCCGGGACTTCAGTGATGGTGACTCGGCCTGCCAGCCAGGTCACCCTTTAGTTCCATCCCTTCCAGGGTGTCAATGTCCCAAACAAATAATGGACCACAAAACAATGGCAAACACCACTTCTTCAATGCCTCCTTTTCAGCCTCACTCTTCTTCCAGAGCAGCAGCCCCCTGGAGTCCCTCAGCAACTCTCAGAACACAGACACGAATACAAGCTATGCAACTTCCATTTAGCCTGGGCTTGAGTTTTGAGGCCATCTTAGGTTCTCCCTCCACCCAGCTTCTGTCAAGCCCTTCTCACAGAGCAAGAACTCCAGCGTCCCTCACTCCTGGATCTCCTTCCCCTCACTGCACTGATCTCCTTCCTTTGCACTCCTCCCTAAGCCTGCAGATGTAAGGAGGTGAGGCTAAAATTAGAGCTCTAGGGATCTAGTTAATCCCTTCGTGGTTGGTGTGGGATTTATACATCCCACCATGGCATGTTAAATTCAGATCCTCACAGGGATTTAGGTGCCTAACTCTCATTGATTTCAATGGGAAATGGGTACCTAAACAACTCAGAGGATCTGGACCTTAGTCTGTTCATGGACTATTTTGTATGGGTTGAACTTAAACTGCTTTGCTAAGGTCCTGATCCCAACCCCACTGAAATCAGTGGGAGTCTTTCCATTGGCATGAGTGGGTTTGGGGTCAGGCCCGTTGTCCCAATGTTCTAATGGTATCTTGCTCGTGCTTTTAATTCCTCGGTCTGATTATTTGCAAAACCAACAGCCCGTTCTCAAGCGCACGCAAAACAAAATGAGCAAAGGAGAACGGGATCCTGAAGGCAGTTAAGTTTAACAGAAATACACCGGGGAGGGTGAAGTTTTCCTGGCGATGAAGAGGGATGGGGTGAGGTGTCAGGGAGAGAGAGATAAAGTACATGCAAACTATCAGCTCTTTTTCCCGCTGGTGTGGGATGACAGCATAGGAAAGGGCAGGGTGATAAGCAGCTGTGAGGCAGCGATCAACCATGCTACCGATAAACACGCAATGGGTGTTTGCGCCATGTTGCTCACAGGCCAACGTCTCCTCTGCAGGCCAGTGAGCTCTCATACCAAAAAAAACCAACTTGGACAACTGTTTAAAGTGAAGAGTAGAACATGAACGTCGCCTGGCCCAGCTCCTCAGGGTGTTGCCAGCTGATCTCAGAAGGTGAAGATCAGCGTATTCAGAGTGCTGTGCTCTGTTTCAGTCCCAGCTGTGCCCTATTTTGAATGCTTAAGGGGTGCATAGACCTCTTGCTGCTAAATGGTGAATTTCACCGAGGAAAAACTAAAATTAGGTGTCTTTTTTTAAAATGAGCTTTCTGGAAGCTATACAAATCCAAGGAGCCTGTTTAGATAATTTGCTGCAAACGGCTAATAGAAGAATGCTATTTTTAATCAAACAAATTATTATAGGATCATAGAAAGTGGAAGTGGAAAAGACATATCGCTAGTCCAGTCCATGTCACTGCAAGATTACACCACAGAATGCATGTGATGCTAGCCATTATAAAATGAGCTGTGCTGTAAATGCAAGAAAAATGATTAGGGGTATGGAACGACTTCATTACGAGGAAAGACTGGGACTGTTCGAGTTAGGAAAGAGACGCATAAGGAGAATATGATTGAGGTCTACAAAAGTGTGAATGGTGTGGAGAATGTGTATAAGGAAATGTTATTGATCCCTTCATATAACACAAGAACCAAGGATCACCCCATGAAATTAATAGGCAGCAGGTTTAAAACAAACAAAAGGAAGCATTTCTTCACACAACAGAGAGTCAACCTGTGGAACTCCTTGCCAGGGGGTGGTGTGAAGGCCAAAAGAATTAGATAAGTCCATGGAGGATAGGTCCATTAGCGGCTATTCCAAGATGGTCAGGAACATAACTCTGTGCTCTGGATGTCCTTAAATTTCCACCTGCCAGAAGCTGGGACTGGATGACAGAGGTGGATAACTATAAATTGCCCTGTTCTGTTAATTCTCTACAAAGCCTCTGGCACTGGCCACGCTTAGATGACAGGATACTGGGCTAGATGGATTATTGATCTGACCCAGTATGGCTGTTTTTATACACACACACACACTCATAGAGTTAATAATTGTATGTAGCTTAGTTTGTAAGTGCTTTATATCAAGTGCTGTAGGCTCACCCATTTAAAAAGTATTTATTTCTACACATCGCTTGATAATGATATATTTTAAAAAACAATTACCCTCCTCATGTATTAAAGCATTTCTAAAGGTTGACTTTGTTTAAATGGAAGCTCAGTTCATTATGCAAAGTAATGCACTTTGGAAAACATAATCCCAACAATACATATAAAATGATGGGGTCTAAATTAGCTGTTACTACTCAAGAAAGAGATCTTGGAGTCATTGTGGATGGTTCTCTGAAAACATCCACTCAATGTGTAGCAGCAGCCAAAAAAGCAAACAGAATGTTGGGAATCATTAAGAAAGGGATAGATACTAAGACAGAAAATATCATATTGCCCTTATATAAATCCATGGTAAATCCACATCTTGAATATTGTGTGCAGATGTGGTCGCCCATCTCAAAAAATATATATTAGACTTGGAAAAGGTAGAGAGAAGGGCAACAAAAATGATTAGGGGTATGAAATGGCTGCCATATGAGGAGAGATTAATCAGACTAGGACTTTTCAGCGTGGAAAAGAGACGACACCAAGGGGGATATGATCGAGGTCTATAAAATCATGACTGGTGAGGAGAAAGTAGATAAGGAAGTGTTATTTACTCCTTCTCATAACACAAGAATTAGGGGGTCACCAAATGAAATTAATAGGCAGCAGGTTTGAAATAAACAAAAGGAAGTATTTTTTCACACAACGCACCATCAGGCTGTGGGACTCTTTCCCAGAGGATGTTGTGAAGGCCAAGACCATAACAGGGTTCAAAAAAGAACTAGATACGTTCATGGGGAATAGGTCCATCAATGGCTATTAGCCAGGATGGGCAGGTATGGTGTCCCTAGCTTCTGTTTGCCAGAAGCTGGGAATGAGCAACAGGGGATGGATCACTTGATGATTACCTGTTCTGTTTGTTCCCTCTGGGGCACCTGGCATTGGCCACTGTCGGAAGACAGGATACTGGGCTAGATGGACCTTTGGTCTGACCCAGTATGGCCGTTCTTATGTTCTCTCCACTGAGCCCTCATCACAGAGACTCAAGAATAGGATGGCAATGCCATTTTCTCCATTGTTAAAATAATGTCAGTTTGTTTCATAAATAAGAGGTGAGGACACATGTGAAGGGGGAGTTTTTTTCTCCAATGGGAACTTTTAGCAGTCAAGCAACGCAGCTAATTTGCTCTCGATCACAATGGACACGTTTGAAATGAGCACATTAAAACAGGAGGGGTCCCGTAACACCTTTCCCCCTTCCTATTATCCTTCTTTCTTTTGCTTTTAATTTAATTCTTTCTCTATGTGTAGGATTTCTCCCCTTCTCTGCTCATGCTAAGAGACACAAAATATTTATCATCGGAGTTGGCTGAATCATGGAAGTTGGAAATAGAACAATAATAACTAAAACTTATATAGCACTTTTCATCTTCAGATATCAAAGCACAGTACAAAGAAAGTCAGTATTGTTAGTTCCTGATGGGGAAACTGAGGCACGGGAGGCACATGACAGAGCTGGGATTTGAACCCAAATCTCCTCAAGTCCAGGTCAGTGTCAGAGCCACTAGTGTCCAACATGTTGCACTTAAATGTAGCATGATGACCACCACAACTAATCGCATGAGTCTCCATGTTGCCAACTTTTGTGTGTCTCATGCTGTTCGGTGTTTTTCTTAAATCCCCAGCTCTTGGAATCAAGAGGTGGCAAGAGAATCTCAGCTTTTATTTTTGAAAATAAGTGAAATTTCTAGCCCTCCTGGTTGCAGAGAAGAGCTGGAAAAGGCAGAGAAAAGGAACAGGTTTTATTATTGTTAAAAGGATCTCATGATTTTTAAGTCAATCTTGCCTTTTATTTTTTTAAAGCTACACTCATGCTTGAGGTTGGCAGTACTGGGCTCCCTACAGCTTGAGCTAAAGAGACTGCAGTTGACTCCCATCATCAGTTATAACACCCACTGACATCAGGTTGCAGTTACAGCTCATGAAAATGGAGGGGAAAAAAATACTGAATGACAAGCATTAAGAAAAAAGAGCAGAGGCTGATTTGTAAAACTTTATTTAGAAATATTCTCGATATATTCATTATATTATATATATTTATATATACACACACATTACAACAAATGTGTTTTCTAAATAGCACATCCACAGTGGGTTGCCTAATCGGCTTTACAAAGATAATAAGGGTACCAGGTCTGGTTACTTAACTTCTGCAGAAAAATGCAGAAACCAAAGGAATTTTAAAAAAAAGAAAAGCAAAGAATTCATCACAGAGTACAACACTGACCAAAAGTGCTGATTCCAAACATAAATGGGATGATGTTATATACACCAAGACATAGAGCAGGCAGAAGAAGAACCGGAGAAATAGGAGATGTACCATTCAAATCACAATTAAAGTACAACTATACATACCTCAGCTATACTTAAGTTGTATTCTGCTAAGAGGCTACAAATATATGTGTTTTGTAAAAGGGTTATAAATTGTACCATTTTGTCTTCTTTTCAGAAAAAAAAAGAGGGGGGATTTCTAACATTTTAAATGACTTGTCTTGGAATATCTGTCCAAAAAGGGGTAAAATATCATTATTATTTCCAATCCCTTTAAAAATGTAATAACACTTTATCTTCGTAACAAAATTTCTCTCCCTCCTCCCCCAGAAACTACTGATCCCCGGATCTTGCAAAGTGATGGGCGCCCCCTGCAGGAGCTGAGAGTCCTCAGCATCTCTCAGGCTCAAGTTCCAATTTCTTACTCCCCTATGTATTCCCCCCATCACAGAATGCGTCCCCTACCAGTGTCTGAGTTTTGAGGTCTAGCCCCTACTCCCATTGAAGTCAGTGACAACTCCCTTTGGAGCAAGATCTGGCCTTTAGATAATACCAGACGGTGAAACTGACCCTGTAATGCCCCACATAATGTAAATCTCACCTGAGCCCCATTTGAGGACTTTATAGGTGCAATGTACTGGCCCTCTGCATAGGGGTGAATTCTCAGACCATTTACCTAAAATATCAATGGGGAACTCACAGCAAGGTGGTACACCCTCTTAATATTCCCACACACAACACTGAGAGAACCCAGCCTCACTCATATTACTTCCAAGATAGTATCGACCCATTCTCATAAACGGGCATAAAAAAAAGAAGTGACGGTACCCTACAATAAAAATAGGGTCAACCTGGCTTTCCAACAGGCAAACTAATGGCTCTAAATGCTCACACACGGACGTCTCTGCATTGCCTTGTACCTCAACACCTATAATAAATAAGAGACAGGGTTGTATAAAGTGTACTCATTCTAATTATTTTCCCTTACAAAGAATGGGGCTTTCTCGCATCATGTGGATTTTTCTGAATCTCTGCCGAGCAAGTGGATAATGAGATAGTTTGTTCTGGTGCGATTGCTCTGTCAATCATTAGCAAGTGGGAAAAAGAGAGAGTCCTATGTAGGTTCTGCTGTTCATGGGATATGCAGGGCCTAGCTCCTCAGTCTGTGTAAACAGGCATAGTATGGGAGTCAATGGAATGACCCTGATTTACACCAGCTGAGAATCTGGCCCACGTTTTTTAAGTACTCTGCTTTTTTTAAAGTGTCCTTCAGAGGACATCTCCAGATGGAGGATAATTTCTGTTTCAAAGTGATCTGGTTGTATGTGGCCACCAACCTGCAATACGTCTGCATGCCTGGGAATTGCTGTATGTGTCACAAATAGCACTGAATCTCAGTGTAAATCTACACAGCAAGAACAAAACCGCGGCTGTGAGTCTCAGAGCCCAGGTGACTGCTTTGCTTCTGGGAACTCTAGAGATATCCACATCCTTGTGCAGACAAGGCTCCGGCGGAAGTCTTAAGTAGATAAAGAGGCAAGATCAAATCGGGGGGCTAATGAACAGACGGGGAGCGGGGGGGAGGTTAAATAACCATCCTTTCCAGATGGGTAAAACCCAACAATCCAAAGCACATAATTAAATCTCTTTTATATCCCTTCTACACACACACACACACAATTTGTTATTCCATCACTGCCTTTGTTTTTAACTAAAATACCAGGATGACAATTGCAAGGAAAATTCCCACTCACCCATACTGAAATGTGTAATCCTTGGCTGATGTCATGTCCCCACTGAAGCCAATGACAAGATTCCCATAGACTTCAACGGGGCCACGATTTCAGCCATTGCACAGTAGTTGGGAGGGAAGAGAGAAGAAAACATCTATGTACCTTTTCATTCAGTGGATACTGCATGACAGTTATTAAACAGAAGTAATTCCACATCATAAATACAACACCTCAAACAATCCAAAGTTAGGCTACGGTTTTGGGCTTTTTTGAAAAAAAAAAGTCTCGTTCCTTGTAACAGTTCTTTAGCGGGAGGCATTTTTCAGCTCTTTAAAAAGGTACAGTCAAAAGCTCTTGGACAACAAGAAGGCATTGCCCTAGCTTCCACACTGACAAGTTGCATATACATCATCAGAATGGTTTGGAGAGATGCTGCAGAACTGTTCGAGATTTTGGTCGCTTCCAAGTGCCACACGTAAAAGGAAGGGACATGTAGCTTCCATTGGCAGTGAAAGAGGGAGTCACTGCCTGTTTTTGATCCATGATTATTCTGCTTCAAGAGATCATCATCAAATCATTTGATATTGAAGAGGTGTCAGCAGTGTTCCCTCCCCCCACCCAGCGTTACATCCATGAACAATATGTACAATAAGATGACTTTCATCTCCGTCCGATCAAGTACCTAAATGTTGAATGTCCACTTGATTTGGTCTTGTTCTCCATCAACTCACTGTCATTTTAGTTCAGGGATTGTGACCTTTAGAAATATTGGCTTGAGAACTTGATGAGCTCAAGTTCCTGTTTTCTTTTTGGAGATGTAGAGTTGGGAAAATAGGGTGTAATTCCAAGACCCAGGGACTGAGGGTTTACTTTCCCCTCTGTGCTTTAGGAGGGATCTGTAAGGTCATCATCGCTGGGCATTGCCTTCTACAGGAAGAATGGAGTGATGGAGACTCCTTGTATGCTTTGTATCTAATGTTTCATGTTCTTCTGTGAAGCTGTCCGGGCTCCCTGCTCCATCTAAAGAGCTTCCACAGCTAGAGTTTGGAGACAACATGTCCTGCAGGAGATCCTCTTGGACTATCCCAGTGTCTTTGTTCACTTTGCCCCTTTGGTTTCCCTCTTCTTCCTGGTCATTAAGCAGTTTGGCCAGGAAGTTGATGTATTTCATAGCCAGGCGTAAAATTTCATTCTTGCTCAGTTTTTTGTCAGGTGGGTGGGTCGGAATGAGTTTACGAAGCTCTGCGAATGCACCATTGACATTCTGTTGTCTCCACCTTTCCCGGCTATTGGTAAAAATGCGGCGGACCACTTTTGTATGGGGACCTGAAATTACAATAGTGCATGATTAGGGGTAACATTAAACAGATTATTTATCATTTCACTTAATGGTCAAAATTTCCCAATGTGACTGACTAACTTTAGGCACCTACTTCCCTAGGTAGGTATCTCAACAGAAGTGGTCTGGTTTTTAGAACTGCCACAACTTCCGTTCAAGCCAATGGGAGCTGAAAATCAGGTCATTTCTATTTAGGCGTCTAACTTTAAGTCAACTAAGTTTGAAAGCTTAGGCCATATATGTGATTAGCAGGCTGTATATTTTCATCATATCCCAGTGATAAAGGACTTGTACAAGCTTAGCTCATGAACTGACTTATATTTTATACTCTATTAACTTCTCTTAACATTGGCCAAAACAGATATGACAAGAGACAACGTGAGAGAGCAGAGGTTTTAGTGGTTCTATGGTCAGGATGCAGATACTCATCTAAATCATTTATTTGATACAAACCCAAAGCTGGTAGGGAGCTTAAAGCTGTTACGTGACCATTGGATGGCCTATGTGAAATGAGTTGCTGGTACTCAGCCCAATTCCTTGGGAACAGGTAGCCACATTACAAAACCAGCCCCCCTCCCCCAAAAAAAGAAACCCAACACCAAAACCAAACAAACAAAAATGAGTGCCTTTGTTGGAATTCTGAATGGAGACCAGGAGTCAAATCATCCCAGAACTGCCCTATCAGTTTTAGAAGCTGTCTCTTCAGGTCAGCATTGTGGAACGTTGGCAGAGCAGCTGGAGAGCCTGACAATGACGCTGTGATTGACCATGCTTTTCCTGTCCTGTAGATACCCTCAACCTGATTCTATTTTGATTTATTTTTGTAGGAGGGGAAATGACAACAAAATGCTGATGTTAATTTAGCCGGGCAAGCGGTGAAGTCCATTTAAAATTGCTAGAGTTTTACCCCATGGCCAGTTTTAGAATGAATGTGTTGACGTAAAACAGCTAACGTCCCGGAAGACCAGATAGATACCAACATTGACTGTGTCTTCTCCTTTCCATGGGTGATCATAACACCTACTGGTGTGGGGTTGTACGCATGGAGAGGAAGGATTTATGAGCAGGTCCTGCCAGGCATAAGATCCAGGTCAGAGTGCAATCTCAGAATCCCATTTCTCTGGATCAGTGGAAGTATGTACAAGCGGGTACTCATTCCAGCTATTGGACAGTGCAATATCTATCCAAATAGGACTCACAGAGTATATTATTATTACTATATATTTTGCTTTGCATAAATTGTTATTGAAGGGACCTAGCAGGAGACCTCACGAGCCTCTGGAAGGGTTGCCATGGCAAAAACCACTATAAAGATGAGAGACGTGCATGCCTAGAAAAGCACAACACCAAGTACCAATGTAGGTATAATATCTATGGGGGTGACATTGAATGACAGATCACATGGCCTTGTACAGCACATGTCCACGCTATACTCTTACATTCTGAAACCCCTTGTCTGATTACTGCATCATGGTGGGAATAAGTCACTGACCAACAATAGTCCTGTGGTCAGTTGTTTAGATTGCCCAGTGTTCCATCATCACCCAATGCTTGTGCCCACCAGTGGGATGCTTTGGCTCTAGCCATGTGCCCACTTAATCATAGAATCATAGAATATCAGGGTTGGAAGGGACCTCAGGTCATCTAGTCCAACCCCCTGCTCAAAGCAGGACCAAGCCCCAATTTTTGCCCTAGATCCCAAATGGCCCCCTCAAGGATTGAGCTCACAACCCTGGGTTTAGCAGGCCAATGTTCAAACCACTGAGCTAACCCTGCCCCCCAACCAAACCACTGGGCGTGTTTTGGTTGTTAACATACACTTGGACTCCTTGGGTGGGGAGTTCAGCTATAGCAAATGGATAATAGACCACGTGCTCTGAAGCTCGCTTATAATATTGTTGCAACATACTAGTACAACGCGGCTGCCTCCTGATAAATCCACCCTCAAGATCAGAGAAGACAGAAATCCCAAACACTAGGAAATGAAATGCTGGCTGGTGAAAAGAAAACACTGACACATGATGTGTTGCGAGAAAAATCCGTTCCATGGGCTTTGCAACTGGAAACACTTCTAAGCAACCACAGTCATTGCTGCGACAGATTCAAGCTACTGGCCCCTCCAAACCAAATCAGCCACGTATAAGCAACAGACACATCTCACTCACATTACCAGGAGCTGCACAGTTCCAATGCACAATAGTCCCTTTCCCCTCTCCACCGTTAAAAATAAATCCACCCAAAATAACAACAACAACAACCACAGAAAATGGGAAGGACTGAGGTCCACCACTGCCCACCCCAGATTCCCCCCTCCCCTGCATATGCAGGAAATTGATCGTGTGGGATACGCCCACCTGATCCTAACAGATGATCCCTGCTCAATGCTCCAGAGGAAGGCGAAAAAGCCAAGGTGTCTGCCAATGCGCCGTGGGGGGAAAATGTCCTTCCCGACCCCAAATCTGGTGATCAGTTCAACCCTGTGCATGAGAGCAAGAATCACCATGATTAAGTAAAAATTTAATTCTGCAACTTTCAGTTTCCTTTGGGGATCTAGCTATCTGGGGAGTTATTGGAGCCCCATCCCTGCAGCATCTAAGCACGAATGAATGAATTTACTCTCATGATTGCCCTGTAAGGTCAGAAGCACTCTCCTTCCCATTTTATAGATGGGAACAAGAGGCTCAGAGAGATGAAAGTGATCTGCCCAAGGTCAAAGGGGAGTTGCTGGCAGAGCCAGGACTAGAACCCCCATCTTCACAATCCCAGTCAAGTCCCTAAGCCATGAGGCCATTCTTCCACTCCCAAAGAGCACCATAACTGAGCATTCAAATGCAGTTGTAAGATCTTAAAGCCAGGGACTGTTTCTTACACTGGATTTGTACAGCACCCTGAACTCAGGGTCCCCAGTGCTAAGTGGGGCATCCAGGCAATTCCACAACACGAGTAATGACAACAGTAGAGCTATTTGCACTGCTAGCCTATCATTAAAGATCTCTCCGGGTATGTTTACACTCCACATTAAGCCCAGGCTCTGACTCAGGTTTGAGCCCACGCCCCTTTTCCATCCACATGCAAATGAGTCTGACTCGGGTCAGCAAGCCCTCAGAAGCTGGGTCCTAGGACCCTGCTAGGGGGGTGGGTCAGAGCCCGAGTCCTGCTTGGACTCAGGTCCAAGCCTTATCATTTTGCAGTGTGGACGCAGCTCAAGCTGCAGACCTTGCAGAATGTGTGCCCTAGCACAGCTGTGAGACCCAGGTCCAGTAATTGCAAACCCAGGATTACAATGCAGTGTGGACACTCCAGCATGGGCTTGGAAACACCAAGTGCACAAGAGCAAGTCCCACAGACCTAGGTTTACAATGCAGTGTAAACATAACCTCTGTGCTCCTCTAACATGCTCCTCTAAGCTTAAAAAAAAAATATCAAGAAACATGGAAATCAGATTCTCATGCAGAGAGGGTTTTGTTTAATTTTACAAAATCTCTTTTGCTGCTTTTGAATTTGAGTGGGAAAATATTAGAGATCACTAGCCTAAAAAAAATTTAAAATACCAACGGTGCAATCTTGCATGCACAGAATACCCATTGAGTTCACTGGGGGGCTGGTGCCCCTAAGGAATCCATTCATAAATTTTTTAAAATGCTGTGATCATCTAAGATGACATCAAGCATAACGCAGACCATAGAATTTCACCCCGATTCCTGCATTGACATCAGACACAATGCAGGTGTAGAATTTCATCTCCTGATTCCTGCATCAAACCCAGTAACTATGGTTGAACTGAAGAAAGGTATCTTTTAGAAAAACAGTCATCCTCTCTTGATTTAAAGATTTGAAGTGATGGATAACACAGGATGCTTTGTGGATAGGTCATGAAAAACTGAGGTATTCTTCTAAATGACATTTGTCGAGTAATTAAACCAGAAGATTGAATCGGGTTTTCTACATAATTTGTTAAATATAATACAAATCAAAAGGAGAACTGGTAGAAATTTTTCAAAATCCCGACAGAATTTTTTTGCAATCAGTTTTCAAAACTTTTTGTGACCGTTATGTATGTATTTATTTTGCAGCTGGCTTGGAGAGCGGTCAAAAATTTTGTAACACTTTGACAAAACATTTTCATGAAAAGGGGTTTTGATTGGAGTCACTTTTGGGGCTTTACAACTGTTCCTCTCTGAAGCAGCTCAGCTTGTGCAGTTCAGAGCTGAGCCCTGCAGTTGGGAGAAAGCCATCAAGCCAGGTGGTTTGTTATTCATGATCCAATAAGCTGAGAGGAGCGGGAGCTGCAGGCGGGGGAGACAGTGAAGAATCTGCCCAGATGACATCAGGAGCTACTGAGACTCTGGTTGCAATATATATTGTTTTCTTAGAATCTTCAGACATATTTCTGGGTCAGTGACTAGCCCTTCTGCTATCAGTTTCTTCTAAGTGCAGGTTTTAAACATGCTAGATTAAGCCACTATTGTGGTTGGCAGAGGAAGCAACTGAAAGGCCTAAAAATGGCCACCATACTGGTCATTTCTGTATCTTACTAATGCGCTGTCCAGTCCCCTGCCCCTGTGAATGCCAATTCTCCGCCTGCTCATTCTGGTTTGATCATAAATCGAACTGATGGGCAAGGCTTAAGAGCTGCCATTGATCCAAAAACTGAAATTTGCATACCTACACTGCCCCTATTTAGGAGAACTAGTCCAGGCCTATTTTGCCATTCTATCTCCCAAAGAGCTCTCCTAGTTTAATGTCTCTGGTTTTTTCCCCAAATGCCCCATGTTGCAAATCTTGTCAGATATGAAATACTCCTTGACAGACAAACCATAACCGTCTGAAGACATTACACTTTCTTGTATCAGCGGCAGTCCGGATTAGTAAAATCCCTAATAATGATCCAAATATGTTCACACAGGAACCATTGACAGCAGTGGAAGTTGCCTGTTCATGTCTAGGGGCACACTTTTGCCCTATTTACCTGGTTTGCTAAATATAAATTTTATCCAAAACCCCTTGGAATCTTTCCACTGACTTCAGTGGGCTTTGGAGCAGGCCCTCTAGGCCTGCAAACACTCTCCCATGTACTTTAAGATTATTCACACGCATAAGTGTTTGCAGGCTCAGGGTCCTAGTCTGCTCCCTGAGATACACGCCCACAAAACTATCCTAGTTCAAAGGCCTGATCCTGCAAATACTTAATCAACTACTTTGGGATATGCAGGATCAGGCCCAGTGAATATACCTAATACATTATCTAGTAAATACATATTCAGTTTTCTTTCAAATACATTTATATATGTCCTGCTCATCTAAACAGTTATTGTGTATATTATATATAAGTAAAACTTAACATCTAAGCTAAAAACAAGTAAACTCAGCGGGAAGGTTAAAACTCTTGCTCAGACTCTATGACACTGATACACACTTGTGTTTTTATTTTTCAGCCTTATTATTTATATTATGGTAGAACCTAAAGGCCCCAACCAAGATAAGGACCCCATTGTGCTAGGTGCTGTGCAGATACATGGGGAGAGAAAGTCCCTGCCCCAATCAGCTCACAATAGAAATGGACAAACAGACAGAGGATGGAGGGAAAGAGTAACACATAAATGCAGTGAAACTGGAGTGATGTTTTGCAAGCATTATGTTAGCTTCACAATTTTCTTTTGAAGTGTGGAGGACTGGGGTTTTATCTGGACAGATTAGATAGATAGGTTAGCTAAAAAGAAAGACAAATGAAGGGAACTGAATTTTCTGGCTTTTGTGGATTTCAATGTTTTATCATTTAAAATGTATTTTCTTTTTATCATTTCATCTCATTTATATAGCCATCTGTCACTGTGGAGAGCTTTAGGCTTTGATTTAAAAACTAAGGACCTTTGACTGGAAACATATACTCCTATGGAGTGTTTACTCATACAGGCATTCCCACTGAAACCAATAGGACTGCACAGGGGTAGGTAGTGAGATAATATCCGAGGCTGTTTAATTTCTTCCGTACTTTGAAAGATTTTTAAAAATATGTTATAAACTCTGGGCCATCAGTCTGGAAGCAGAACTGGTCAATTTCAAAGGGCAACTCTGCTTCAGGGCTTCTGGCAGAAGGCAAACCTCTGTCTGGTGACTTTCTGAACTGTCTTTGCAATTTCAGCACATCAGAAGAGTGGCCCCAGTTCAGCAAAGCACTCAAGCATGTATATAAGTCTCTCTCACTGCAATGGGACTTAGGCCTGGTCTACACTTAACGCTTATACTGGCATAGCTATGTCAGTCAGGGGGTGAAAAAACCACATTCCCTAGCCAATGTAGCCATGTTGATAAAACCCCCAGTGTGGGTGCAGCTATGCTGACAGAGGACCACTTCTGTCAGCATAGCTAACGTTGTTCAGGGAGGTGGCGTTCCTACACTGGCAGAAAAACTCCTTCTGTCTTGTACACTGTATCTACACTAGGGGGCTATGCCAGCATGGGCTCTGTAGACATAGCCTTAAACAAGTGCTAAGTGGTTTGCAGAATAGGGATAGAATTAAACACCTGCTAGAGTGCATTGCTGAACTGGGGTAATATTATTAAGTCGTTCATCATCAGACTGGTTACAGATGGAGTAGGAGGTATTGGCTCCACTATCCAGGAGTCAAGACCAGGACAGAAGCAAGCTATCAGCCAGTAGGAGTGATGTAACCTCATCCTTTTATTGCTTTGTATTTTACCCCAATACATGTTGGTCTAAGCAACCTTCCCATGTCACCAAGGAGCGGCGGGGGCGGGGGGGGAATGGGATGGGACATTAAGCACCGGCTAAATCCCTTTGCACTTGATATACACCATCAGGGGAAGAAGAAAAGATTCTCACCGTCACTGATCTCCACTTCATAAGGAGACGATCTTCTTTTCATTCTATTGTTGTTGTAGATTGAGAAGGTGTCTGGCTCTCCAAAAAACCCACTGCAAACAAGGTGCAAAGGGAAGGTCAGAAAAAAACGAGGAGGAAAACACACAGACACACTTCATGAAGGGTACTCACTTGTCGCCGGGGTTCTTCGAGATGAACGCTGCACATTCCCACTCGTGGGGAGCACCTTGGGCACCCGTGCAGCGGCCACCTGAAGAAGAACTATTAGATATTATAGGCCAGATCCTCAGCTGGTGTAAATCAGCGTCGCTCCACTGACATCAAAGGGACTTTGAAATCTATCGAGCTATATCAGCTGATACCAGTTGAGGATATAAGTAGGCATGTGTGAGAGTACATAAATAAAACACACACACACACACACACACACATCCACACACAAGCATGTATACACAAATTATACATACATTTACATATACAGCATAACAGACATCTGTCTTAAGTGACCAGGATAAAAATTTGTAGGTCCTCCAATCAATGTGATATAATTCTAATACAGGTATGTGTACTTTCTAGCAAGTCTTTTAAGACAGAAGGCTACCTGATCTCTAGATGATATATAACACACATATGCTGAACTACTATTAATTTGTATTGAATGAGAGAAAATAGAATTGAATTATATGATATAAGTACATTGTAGGGTGTAGGCATAGTTATTTATACACACTACATGCAATGCATATTCTGAAGCAATTCCTTATCACTGTCATGATTATTTGTAGGGTCACACACATCTCACCCAGTGCATACATCTGAGAGATTTCTTCAAGGAAACAAAAAACTTGCCCACTAGATAAATGTTGCATTGGCTACATTTACACCTTTGCATTTAAAATATTACATTTTAATATGATTTTAATGTATGCAATATATATATAATATCGCATACATTAAAATCATATTAAAATGTAATATTATATCTATCTATCTATCTATATATATAATTACCCTTGTTCCAAGGGCTACAATAGATGTTTTGCTTTGCAAAATTACACGCATCCAAACTCTCCCACAATTATCCAGGCACAAGAATTACATCCCCAGACAGAGAAAGGTTCCTTTGCCAGACAACCTCCTGTCCTTATGAACTTCGGATAGATAGATAGATAGATAGATAGATAGATAGATAGATAGATAGACACGTGCAGGACAGGAAGACAGAGAGAGGTCGGAGAGACACAAGAAGAGAAACAATCCAGCAGTTTTCTGCAGAAACGGTACTAAAGGCTTCATCTCAGGATAGGACAGGGCGAGGGAGCTGCTGTAGGGCGCTGAGTGGGGAGACAGACAGACAGAAGAAGACGGACAGCCTCCCGGAGGCAGACCGACAGACAGACAGCCGGAGCGAGGGGCAGACAGGCGGGCGGGCGGGGAGATCGGGCAGGAGGCGGCGGGCAGGGCACGGACCTGTTGATGGTGCCCAGCGGCTGGCCGATGTTGTAGAGCATGGCTCGGCCGGCCGCCGGCAGGGGAAGCGCCGTGGGGCTCAGCTGCACCATGCGGGCGTCGCAGGCGGCCTCGGCCGGGGCTCTGCACGGCTCGGCGCCCGGAGCTCTCTGCATCGCCTCGCCGGGCGCCTCGCGGCCTTTTATGTCCCTGCGCACCAGCTCGATCACCGGCACGGCGGCGGCGGGGGGCCCGGGGGAGGGCCGGCCGGTCTCCTTGGAAACCCCATTGAGCAGCAGCGGGGGCTCTCCTGGGACCTCCATCCCCCCGCGGCTGCTCTCCGGCTCGCTCGTGCCTTCCGCTCCCGGATCGTGCGGCTGCGGGGGCCGGGCATCCCGCGGGTCACTGCGGGGCAGCTCCGCCGGCGGCCTCTCCATCGTCCTGGGGGAGAGAGGAGAGGAGAGGAGGTGAGCGGGGTGGGGGGAGCCGAGGGCACCCCTGCGAGACAGACTGACTGTCCAGCGGGGGGGGGGGGGGAGAAAGAAAGAAAGAAAGAAAGATTGCGGGAAGGATGGAAAGAAAGAAGAAGAAAAGTGGGGGAGGGAAAGAAAGAAAGAAAGAAAGAAAGAAAGAAAGAAAGAAAGAAAGAAAGAAAGAAAGAAAGAAAGAAAGATTGCGGGAAGGATGGAAAGAAAGAAGAAGAAAAGTGGGGGAGGGAAAGAAAGAAAGAAAGAAAGAAAGAAAGAAAGAAAGAAAGAAAGAAAGAAAGAAAGAAAGAAAGAAAAGGGGGAAGGGGGAGAAGAGAGGGGTGAAGGAAAAGCGGGTGAAGGAAAAAAGGAACAGAGAAGAGGTGACGGTGACAGATGTTGCTAGTTTGACAGCAGCGTCCAGGCACACACACCTCCGCAGCGAAGGAGCCCATTGTCCCGGCCTGGGAGCCAGAATCCCGCTGCAATGATTTATTAGCAGGAGAATTAGCCAAACGATGCTTTGTACCAGAAGAGGGGCGAGCTTAGCTATTTGTACTGAAGCGCCGGGGCACAATCCTGCCTTGGTGGCTTCTCCGCCAGTGCAGGACGAGAGATGAAATCCTGGCCCCCTTACAGTCAATGGCTAAAGTCCCCTGGATCTCCGTGGGGCCAGGATTTCACCCAATATTTAAAAAGATGAGGGTTCACCGGAGCCAGGTGTGGCCGAGAGATGGGCTTGGTGCAATCCCCCGAAGCCCAGGGATCACTATTTGTTTCACCATTCGCCTTAGCTTAATATCTCTGTGTTGCCTATTTAAGCCTCACATTTAATCTTCTCTTTGATCCAGCATTTGCTGTTCCACCGGCAGGTGACTTAGCCACGGCTGGAATCAGTTTCTTTTCCATTAATTTTTTTTGCAGCCCAGATAGAGGAAGAGAATAAACTCCAGGGTCTGAAGACGTGGGCGTGATGGTGTTTAAAGAATAGAACATTTTTATCGAAGGGTAAACCAAGAGCTTCGGATTTTTCTTTTTATTACGACTAATGTTAACAAAAGGACAGGGCTAAACGGGTGTTTATTGGCGAGATTTCCAACGGAAACACCGTTTTGCTGCTACCCCAGGTTACACTTTTGAACTCAACCACCCTTCGTGGAAACTATTGATTTGAAGATGAATTTATCATGGCTACCAGCTATAAAGAGGGTGAAATACGGAGTCTATGTTTTAACATTCCAATTCGAGAACTGTTCAAAGGGGCATTATATTTCTCTCTGGACACATACACACACTGGATAGTAAAAAGAAAAGGAGGACTAGTGGCACCTTAGAGACTAACCAGTTTAGTCCTCCTTTTCTTTTTGCGAATACAGACTAACACGGCTGCTCCTCAGAAACACTGGATAGTAGTGTTTGCATATATGTGTGTATACTATATTATATATATATATATAATGCTATATATTTGTATATAAAATTATTGTAATGCAATATAATCGCCACAGTGGCCCTGCATTTTATAGGGTAATCATTTTATGGTTACACTATAAATCAGGTTACTCCCAGTGGCAAAGGAGCGGTCACTTACCCCAGGCCAACTGCACTTCAGATCTTACAAGACAACGCTAATAGGCAATCCTATAATTAACTAATCAAAGAATGGTTTCAGAGTAAAAAGAAAAGGAGGACTTGTGACACCTTAGAGACTAACCAATTTATGTGAGCATAAGCTTTCCTGAGCTACATCCGATGAAGTGAGCTGTAGCTCACGAAAGCTTAATGCTCAAATAAATTGGTTAGTCTCTAAGGTGCCACAAGTACTTCTTTTCTTAATCAAAGAATGATTAACTAAGAAGAAGAAATATATAAAAATGATTACACTATAAAATGCAGGGCCAGTGTGGTGATTCTATTGCTTTACAATAATTTTATATACAAATATACAGCATTATACTATAGTACTTTGCTATAAACATTGTATGACATTTTATTGCTTTAACACGGAACCCTGGCATTCTGATATACACACACATCACGTGTATATTTCTCAGCAAAGTCATGGTGGTAATTATGTTGTTATACAGGGAGATGTAGTCGAAGTATTAAATTCTACTCATGCAACATAGTGATCACCATGACTTTGCTGAGAAATATAGACCGGGTGTGTATATTTTTATACACACACACACATTATATATATATATAACGTTGCATGAGGAGAATGTAATACTTAATCTATATACAATGATTGCAATGTTTTGCTGAGAAATATAAGAATGTAGTGTTTCTGTATTAAGGTAGTAGAAGATAGATAGATAGATAGATAGATAGATAGATAGATAGATTTCCTATTCATTTCAAACGACTAGCTTTGTCTGTAACCAAGATGTGGAGTCTGATCAAGTGTGACTAGCAATGGGAAGTAATTATATTATTGCAAAACAAATGTCTAGTCCGGGGCCCAGTCTTGAGTAAGGAGAGCAGCATCGGGTTAATTTGATGTTTCCTATTTTGGGGACATATTACACCGTAGATTTTTGTTTTAAGCAGAATGGCCCGTGGCTTTGGGCCGAAAGACCCACGTCCTGCAGCTGTACTATCTGGTCGTATCCAAAATGTGTTCGGTACATTTGAAGTCACTTGTTTAAAAAGCAATCTGTAGGCGCCTTCTCTATCCATTAGCCCAGGCAGGCAGGCTACAGGAGCCGTCCGCTGGGCAAGGAGCGGGTTAGTGTCTCATCTGCCATCAAACACATGGATGTATCGTTACAGGAAACGCATTTCACGCTGAGGAATTATTATTTCCATTTTGTTTCCTCCCGAAGTTTGGGGTTTGTTCATTTCATGGCTGGTGTAAATAAAGGAGGCCCGGTGCTTTGCGAAAGCAGATCTGATCCCAGACTCAGCCTTTCTAACCTTAATTTCCTTGACTCCTGCGGGGCTCAGTTAAGCAGATCGTTTGTAGGGAAGACCTGAAAAAGTCCCAGGGCGCCGGCCCTTTCCCAGCCACCTCTCCGGGAAGGATTCTAACGGTCTGTCGGGATATTGCATCGTGAGCGACCATTCACATCTGTCTCCTCGAGTGTCCTGTTCCAGCAAAAGATCTCTCCGGCTCAGGGCTGCCTTCTCGCCTCCCACCTCTAGGATACTTAGGACTTGACAAGGAGAAAGGAAACCCATATCGAGATAATAATTCCTGGGGGCGGGGGGAGATCTCTTGCCCCAGTTTCTTTAGATCAACTGCACATTGGAGCCGGAGAGATCGACATCAAGATAGCAAACGCTGATAGAGAGGCGTGTGGCTAGGGATGCCCGCCGTACACCCCCCCGCCCCAGCCAATCACAACTAACGGACGGGGAGACTGGACCCAAATATAACCCTCCTCATGCGTAAATTGGGCTTGGAATTTGGATAGCACATTAAAAATCTATATTGTTTAGTTTCAATGTATATAGGGGTGTTTATATTATTAATAGGGTATATAGACAGAAACACACCCTATCTATGTACACTGTATTTATTCCCTTTAATTAAATTATATATATATACATATATATTACATATATTATAAATTTGTTATATATACATAATTAAAACAAATAAAGTATTTATAAACGTTTACAATTATATATACACACACACATATAATATATAGATATATAATTATAAACTTATTTAAAAACGTTAAATATATACTATATGTGTGTATGTGTATATAATTATAAACGTTTATAAATACTTTATTTGTTTTAATTATGTATATATAACAAATTTATAATATATGTAAATATCTTGTTCTTCATATTCATATATTTCTATTAATAAAGGGGTTTAACATGGATGCAAACCCCTTACTAATATAGATATATAACGTAAAGATTTCTCTCTCCATATATCCCATCACACATATAGGTCGAAATAAAACAAACGATTTATTTGTATTACCGGACTAGAGCTGAAAACAGGGTGTTTGTTTTCAGCTGGCATTTCTCAAACTGATGCCTGCAGGTTTGCAGACATGCTATTAAAAGTGCAGGGCCTAAAAATTAAACCTAAAAGCCAGTCGGAGATGAATACACAGGTTGAAGCTTGTATCTAGTACAGTCTTTGTCCGAATTTCTCACTGAAAGTTTAAGATGGAATCCCATCCTCAACATCTGTTATTTCCAGTCCGACCCACACAATAGAAATGTTTCCCTCCTTTAGCATAACGTTCGTTATGAATCAGTATGATTTTTTTAAAATCCCGGTATTTGTGGCTGCTTAAGGGATGTAACCCTAAAGGAGATATAAACTACCTGTGTCGATATCTCTGCCTAATACGTCTGTCCATTCCACATCTCTCTCTCTCTCTCTCTCTCTAAAATTGCGGAGTGGAAATATTTCCTTTTGGGATCGCTTTCAACGAGTTAAGCCATAATACAATGAAACAAGAAAGAATCGGAAATTTTAAACACATCCTTCCTTTCCCCTTCACAGACACACAAGGCAAAGTAACAGATAAACACAGAGAAAATTATCAACAAGCCATTAGCCAAAGCGCTCTCTTTTCTGATCATTTCACAGAGCATTTCTCTGCAACCCCCCCCCCACACACACACATTTCCCGAGCCTGTTCAAATGCAATCGCAGAAAAATAATAATCGTTTCATTTTCCGTAGAAAGATAAATAAGTAACCCTCCCCAACCAATTTCCCTCTTTGCCTTCATAATATTTCACACTTTTAAAACAGCAACAGAGAATCGGATTGAATTTGCTTCTTTCGGATCGAATTTGTTACTAGAATAACATGGGAGGTGTGTGTGTGTGAATCCTATAATTTTAATGTCTTAAATTCCACTCTTCCTACGTAATTTGTGCTGGTCGTAACCCCTGTCCTAGATTCTTTGTTTAAAACTGTGGATCTGACGGGAAATTTGTACCCATTAATCCAAGTATTAGTTCATTTCCCTCCAGGAACAGCGACAACCACAAAAATAGAATGAAATAAAACGTTATTGTGGAGTTGCTTCTGGCCAGCTAGATTCAAACAGGGCCTTTCCGATAAACTGGCTCCATAGCGCAACCAGATCCCGATTAAAAGGAACAAAACCAATCCTACCCAGACCTATACACCCATATTTATACTTCGCTTCTGCATCTGCCCCGAAGAAAGGGTTGTTAATCCTGCCTTCTCTCTGCAGCATCAAATATCCGGCTGCTTTTGGGATCAGTTTGCTCAACGAAATTTCCCCAAAAGAAAAAGAGCCGTCCCCTCCCCCCCGCCTCCCCCCATTGAACAACGGAGAATTGGTTTTAATTTTTGTTGCGCGTTTTCCCATATTGCGCAACACACGGGAAAATGCTCGCGCTCTCTCCAGAAGGAAGCCCTGGAAACAATGAGCGAAATACAACGCTTTCCCCTTTACGTATACATAGATCTCTATACTCACCATTTGCTTTTCATTGGTAAAAGTGAGTGGAGCCATTTTGTGGCCTATTCATTGCTGCTATGTATATTTTTTTCCTTCCTCTCTCTCTCTTACTGGAGCAGGATCTAATTCCACATCACGTCCAGTTTCCTATTTAGTATGGAGAACGGAACACTAGAGCAATGTGGCCAACAGAGATAAAGCCCCAGCAATGGCCCGCCTGCCCTGATAAGCTTCTAAACCCATTATTTATGAAATGATTCATTATTATTTGGCAATTTTATCGAAGGAAAGCGGGAACTTATTGCAGGGATATGCATAGGAATAACTTTGGAATGCATGCCTTATAGCTTTTGCTGTGTGTGTGCTTAGATGCTCTTAAAAAGACACTGTAGAAAAGAGTAATAAAAAATGCACCATGACTGCCCACATTTGAATAGCAATTCTTTATTTTAGTCCTCTTGGAGGTTATTATGCCCCTGCATTTTTTTGATTAAATATGGAACACCTACTCAGTTCTTAATTAAATTTAATGAGCCCAAATAAATTGCTGGAGATATTGAGAGAGGAGGGGGGCTGTCTAGGACAATAGGGTAAATAAAGCAAATTGACAGGGAACATTTAAGCAAGATTCCCCCTCGCCCCCCCCCATATTTCTTCACTGCAGGCATAAATGGGGGGGGGGGGAATCTCTAGTTTTAATTTAATCTGATCAGGTTTAGGAGGGGGTGGTAAAAAACTCTGCAATCCATGTGGGGCTCGGGGATTTATCGTGGGGAAGGGGTGTGTGTGAGAGAAATAAAAGGTAAGTCCTCGAAAATAATCAGCTTGAAACTGGGAAAACACAAAAGCATCTCGGATCGTGCTAGGTCAATATAGCTGGGCTGTGAAACGTGTGGTGTAAGGGACTGGGGGAGGAAGACAATCTTATTATTTA